CTCCTCCTCTTTCTGGCTGTTGTGCTGCACGGGTTTCTGCGCGCGCCCCCGCCCCTGCCCCCTTCCCGCCCCCTCCAAGCCGAGTGCGACAGGGGAGAGGACGAAGAGGCGTGACGCGTACGAGGGCTCCAGTCGCTCGTTCGACAAGACAGTGCGCACCACCGAGTCACCGAGAGGGGGCCCAACCTCAGGAAGCAACCCTTGTTAGGTCTTCGCAAGAGAAGCTGAAGGCGACTGAGCCCAATGGAAGGGCCCGTGAGCTGGATCCGGCCAGGGTGCGCCCAGAACTGAGCAGGATCGACCAGCAATGAGCCAGAATAGCCAGGATGATGCTGGACTGGGGTGGCTTCCGATCGCGGCTATACCAGCGCCGATGCTGAACCTCACCGCCCAAAAACTGCGCCCTGAGAGACCTAACCGCGTCGTGACCAACAAGAGAAGGCGAGGGAGCGTGTCCGGCCTCTGGAGGGGCACTTGCTGGGCCCCCGGCGGCACAACAGTCCGGGGTGAACAATCGGTCCCCAGCTGGGACGGGGGCGGGACGATAGCAGGTAGGGGGCCACATGCGAACCCTGCCCCTCCCCCTCAGAGACCGTGGGGGGTAGGGCAGGGTTCGCATGTGGCCCCCCAGCAGACCGCTCTGGCAGAAGCCCGCGCTGGCAGGAGCCCGTTCTGGCAGAACCGCTCTGGCAAAAAAGCCCGCTCCAGAGGGACCCGTGCAGGCAGCAGCCCAGTCCAGCAGACGAGCGAGGGGGCTTCGGGGCAGGCGGTCTCCCCTGGGGAGGCGGGCCTGTGTCGTTGGGACGTCTGGCGACACACGCTGCAAGTAGAGTCACAGGAAGGCTGGGGGTCTGGGTGCAGAAGGCGCGGGCGGGAAGGGCTGGTCTCTCCGCCCCCCAGCTACCGCTAGGTCGGGCATGTCCTCCTACAGGGGAATATTCGAGGAAAAATGGAACATTCCTGTAGACTCCTGACTAGTTTCGACTATGTTCTGACACTCCTTGAATTATCCTCCTGTAGAGGGACGCGTCCGACTTAAAGCCTCCTCCTCCTCCTCCTCCTCCTCCCTCCTCCCTCCTCCTCCTCCTCTCCCTCCTCCTCCTCCTCCCTCCTCCTCCTCCTCCTCCTCCTCCTCCTCCTCCTCCTCCTCCTCCTCCCCAGCTGCCGCTCCCCCACCTGGCATGAAGGCAGCGGGCCCTGGCGAGGCATGCCCTGGGCCCCAGGGGGGCCTCTCCCTGGGGCAAGTGTCTCGCCGTGGGCTGGCCGCCGTGCGCTGCGGCCCTGGTGCCGCAGGTGCGGCCCTGGGAGGCCGCACACGGCCACTATCGGCGGCGAGCGAGCGGCGAGCAGGAACACATCATCATCATCATCATCATCATCATCATCATCATCATCATCATCATCATCATCATCATCATCATCATCATCATCATCATCATCATCATCATCATCATCATCATCATCATCATCATCAGCAGCAGCAGCAGCAGCAGCAGCAGCAGCAGCAGCATCATCAGCATCATCACATCATTCATTATCATCATCATCATCAGCAGCAGCATCAACAGCATCAGCATCATCATCACCACCACCACCACCACCATCATCATCATCATCATCAGCAGCAGCAGCACCAGCATCAGCATCAGCATCATCATCAGCATCAGCATCAGCATCAGCATCATCATCATCATCATCATCATCATCATCAGCATCAGCATCATCAGCATCAGCATCAGCATCATCATCATCACCACCACCACCACCACCATTATCATCACCATCATCATCAACATCATCATCATCCTCCTCCTCATCATCATCATCGTCATCATCATGATCACCACCATCATCATCACCATCACCACCACCATCACCACCACCACCATCATCATCATCACCACCATCATCATCACCATCATCACCATCATCATCATCATCACCACCACCACCATCATCATCATCATCATCATCATCAACAACATCACGAAATGAGGAGGAGAAGAGCTTCCCAGAAGGCGGCGGGGCTTCGTAGAAACCCTCGCGCCTTCTGAGAGGCGTGTCTTCAGGGAGGGCCTGGAATCCTTCTCGGAAGGCCAGGGGACTTCCGAGCCTTCTGAGAAGGCCTTCTCCCTCTCGCTTAGCCCCCGGGCTCGCCGCTGAAGGAATCTCAGGATCCCTGCTTCGGGGCGAGGCCCACCCAATCCTTGGAGGCCTGGAAATGGGCAACAGCACCAACGCAGAGGGTCGCTTCCACGGGGGGGGAGATGATCCTAGACTCCGGCGCTGGTGGTAATAGTTCGGCCACCTTGGAAGCCAAAGTAGTACCACCATCACCGAGATCGGGATCTCCTTCCGTCGGTGGAGGCACACCGCCGATATGTAAAACAGGGCTAAGATCGGGATTAATCGCTCCAGAGCGTTCCGGAGCGCTCTCAGAGCGTTCCGGAACGCTCTGGAGCGGCCGCGGCGCCCAATACATCCTCCAAACCAACCGATTCTCAGAGATTTCGAGTTATCCCGATCCGATTTTGTCCCGATCTTCACGTCGTTTTGATATTGGTGGTGGTGTCAACCTCTGGGCCTGCGAGATCCCGCCCCCAAGGACAAAGCTCCGGCCGCGCAGTCGCACGGACAGACGCTCCGCGCAGGGCACCCGCGGGCATCCCGGGGCCCGACCCGCGAGAGGCCGCGGAGACGCAGGACGAAGCCGGGACGAGGACAAAGTCGGGTGAGGGCAAATCGGCAATCTCTCGGGTCGGGCGCAAGGGGGGGATAGCAAAGGGGGGGGGGGAGAATCAGCTCACGTAGCTGATTTTCCCGGCGCCTCCCGGCGCCGGGAGGCGCCCATGTATCGAGGAATGGGCCCGGCGGCAGGGCCGAAACCAGCTGCATGCAGCAGATTTCGTAACCCCCCCTTTCCCAATCCCCCCCTTTCGCCCGGCCCGAATCTCTGAGGTCATGCGGCTCCGGAGGATGCCTCGGGCGCCGCGGCCGTCTCAGAGCGCTCCAGAACGCGCTGAGAGCGTTCTGGAACGCTCTGGAACGGAGTTGGCCTCGTGCTCGCCCCGTCCGCCAACGGATATACTCGTCTCCCACGAAAGTCGGCGCAGACCGATGCCGCTGGCGCCTGAGCGCGGAGGGATGAAGAAGCCGGGATCGGGACAAAATAAGCCAAGATAGATCAGGGACCTCTGAGATCTGGCGGTCCTGAAGGACGCGCAGCAGGTTCGTGTCGTGCCGACTTCGACCGCTTCAAGATCGACCGTTTCTGGGTCACCAGCGGCGTCCAACATTGAACATTGGTGGCGGGGTCGCCGCCGGTCGACACGACGCGGACCTACCAGATCTGGCTCCGCGGCCATTCATGGAAGAAGACAAAGAAGAAGAAGAAAAAGAAGAAGAAGAAGAAGAAGAAGAAGAAACGGCATAAACATAAACTGTTGGCGCGGCGCGTGGGTTTCTTGGGTTTGCGCTGGATCCCCTCCCTGGCGCGCGGAGCGCGCCGGGGGCGGCGCCAGAGGCGCTGCCAGAGCGCTCCAGCGCAGATCCAAGAAATCCGCGCGAAGCGCCAAAAGTGTATGTTTGTGTCGTTTTTCTTCCTCGAGTTCCAGAGCGCTCCAGAACATCCCAAGAGCGTTCTGGAACGCTCTGGAACGACCCATCCCGGGCCTGGGGGCCCGCCCGATTCGAGGGGCGCCACGCGAGCCCCAGGGGGCCAGAGGCGACTGGGCCCGCGGCCGCTGCCTGCAAGTGCAGAGCATGGCGGTCCTATTCTCGAGAAGCCCACCTGAGCCTCAGCGACGACGCGCGCCAGCCGCGCCCATTTGGCGCGGAGGTGCAAGAGCGCCTCGCAACGACGGCCAGTCGGCTGCCAGCTCGGCGCCGGTCAGACTAAAATGCCGCCACGCCCCGCACAGGGCAGGGCGCTTCCGGGGGCTCGCGAGACCCCGAACTGGATCGGACGAAAGAACGATCAAGCTACCTCTGCGGACAGTCGCCCAGGCCTGCATGGAAGACACAAGTGTGCATCGTGACTGCGAGGCCAGGGGCCGAACCCGATCAAGCGTGGCACGGATAAAACCAAGGAGCGCCTCTTGTAATTCGCGGCCATAGCGGGCCCTATGGGGGGGAGGGGGGATGACGGGAGGGGACATAATGCAGCGCCCCCTCCCCGAGACTGTGCTGCCGTACGCAGTGCAGCAGTGCTGGGGACGCACTGAAGGGGGAAGCGTTACGTTATTAGAAAAAGAGAAGGCGGCATAAACATAAACTTGTAGCGCTCCTCGCGGATTTCTTGGATCTGGGTTGGGTCCCGTAGGGGCGGCGCCGGAGGCACCAAAAGTTTATGTTTATGGCGTTTTTCTTCTTCGAATTACAGGGGGGGAGGGGGGGGACGGAACGGGGTATACCGCGCGCTATGAACGCCGTCTCTTGGGCCCCGAGATAGGAGGAGAAGGCGGAGGAGGAGGAGGAGGAGGAGGAGAAGGAAGAGGAGGAAGGAGGAGGAGGAGGAGGAAGAGGAGGAGGAGGAGGAGAAGGAGGAGGGAGGAAGAGGAGGAGGAAAAGGAGGAGGAGGAGGAGGAGGCCCAGATGCAGGGACTCCCTGCCTCCTCCAGGCAGATCGGGCCACTGGGGCTCCAGAGGCCGCGAGATGTCGCGTGCTGCACGCTGCCACGCCCGCGCTGTTGCTGCTGCTGCCTCGCGTGCCAACCCGCGCCCCCGGCGGGGGCCCGTGCCGTGACGGCCACGGTTCGCTCGTTCCCCGAGAGCCCGGCGGCATTCCGCTCGGCAAATCTTTCGAGCAGGGGATCGACTGCAGCATCGATCCAAAGTCGGGGTGTTGACCGAAGGATGCGAGGCGGGGATTCATCCATATCCGCCGCCTGTGAACCGACGCCCTGGTGCCCCAGCGGGCGGCGGATATGGATCTAGTTCGGCCCCCTGGGGCCCAAATATGTCCATATCCACCACCTGACGAGCATCCTAAAACTGACCCTCTAGGCGGTGGATGTGGATAAATTCCCGCCTCGGAAAGGAACCCTACATAAGGAAGGAGGCCCCTCCTTTTCCGCGAGATAAACTTGGAGTTCCCATCGAAAACATAAGGAACACCTGAGGCAAGCTGTGAAACAATCAAGGTACACGGAGCCCTTTTCCCAACGAGTCGAATTTTTCTCCAGCGACCCGATTGTACCCCAGAACCGATTTTCTGCCGAACATCTACGAACACATGCGCACCATGTCCCGCGAATCTGCTGCGAACGTTCAGCGTGCTTCTTGTAGATTCGGCGGGAGATTCAATTCTGAAGTAAATCAATTTTGAAGCTGATCCACTACAACCACCCCAAACGTAGCCAATCCCTACCCTAAAATGACCCAGGCCCTGTCGACACTGCGCCAGAGCTAACCTGACCCATTAACCTGACCCAGGAGCATCATTCCGAGACAATCGCGTCGCCTGAATGCAAGTGCCACGCCCATTCCGCGCGGGCCGGGTTCGGTGTCACCGAGGTCCGGGCTACGTTACGTGGATAGTCGACGTTAGGGGAACGAAAAATGGCACAAACATGAACCTCGGAGGTCCGCGCGAATTTCTTGGATTTGCGCTGGAGCGCGCCAGGCGCGGCGCCGGAGGCGCCGCCAGGGGGCCGCAGCGCCGATCCGACAAATCAGCGCGGACCTCCGAATTAGTATGCTTATGTCATCGTTCGTCCCCCCACACTCGGGGAAACGTAAGACTCGGGTTCTGGGGGATCGGGTTGGCCTGAAGGGGCCATCATGAAAATGAGAGACCCAACCTGAAACTCTACGCGACCTCCAAGTGCAGACGTCCCCCGAAGACTGGACTGCCAGAGCCCAGGACGCGCTCGTCGGAGAGCGTCGGCCAAGCCGCATTCCGGCGCACTCGAGTCGTACTAGGGAGCCCACAAAGGACGTACGCGCCCAGCTATGTACATGAACACGGCCCCTTGACCCGCGAGACCTGCCGTGCGATACGAACATTCGAACAATGCGAACTCTCGAAACCAGCGTGGATTCATGTACACGTACGTCCTTCTTTCGCTCCTGATCGTACGTTCCCCTGACACACGTTTGGGGGGGGGCGTTGATGCTGAGGCCCCGCAACACGACCGGCGTGCTGACCCCCCCCCCCCGCTTCGCGACAAGGGGTGCGTCGCGCCTTCGTCGCCCGTGCGCCGCCCGCGCCTCGGCCGCCGACGAGGCCGGCCGTCCTCGCGAGCCTGCGCGTCGCCGTGCTCAACTGAAGGGGCCCTGGGACACACAAACAAAGACACACAAAGAAAAGGATTCCCCATATTGCCGTATATGTTCCTGGTTTTCGTCTTCCCCCCCACTTCCCATATTTTCCCCTATGTTCTGGGCAGTCGAGGATAAAGTGTGTCTGTGAGTTTCTTTCCCTCCTGATCAACGCCGCGTTGGACTCGACTGGTTGAGGATTAGCCGACGCTGGGCAGCCGGCAGCGCTCGGCCTCCAGCGCCCGCGCGCCGGGCCTCGCTGCCATGTTCTCCAACAGCCGGGCGGTCGCAAGGAGAGAGGAAAGCAGAGAGAGAGAGAGAGAGAGAAGAGGAGAGAGGAGAGGCAGTATTCCTGTTGTGTCATCGTGGAGGGGGGGGGGAGGGAGGGACCATACTTATTCTTATTATTATTATTATTATTATTATTATTATTATTCGAAAGGGGGAGGTCAGCAACAAGCACAAAACACGTAGTAGAAAGAGAGAGAGAGAGAGGGAGAAGTGAGGACTTGTGGGGTGGGAGACCATAGACCCTGGGGGGCTCTGGGCGGACAACGCGACAGCGCTAGCCGAGATTCAAATTATTCAATTCCATCCGAATTCAGCATCGAATTAACGACATGCGGCTGACGGCAAGGCTTCGTCGCATGATTGTGGCTGGTGTCGGGGTGGCCCCGTCCCCGCCCTCAGATCCCCCCCCCCTCCCAGAATCCTCCCACATTCCCCCAGCCTCCCTCACCACCCTCCCTACCGTTCTGTCCCTCTACCTCCCACCATTCTCCCGAGGACCTGGGAGGCATGATGTGGCGAGCCAGGGAATTTTGGGGCCCACTGCGAGAGCTACAGGGAGGCCCCAGGCTGGCGCTCAGCTGGAGCCCAAGTCCACCAAGGGGCTCAGAAGCTTAGTCCCTCCGTAATACTGGTGTAACCTGCGGCAGTGCCCAGTGGCGACTGCTGCAAAGATTGCCTTCACACCATTCCGATCGCCGCCCCCCGTCGCAGAAGGAGGGCGCCGACAGCTGCACCGATACTTGCGGGGCACACCCTGGACTCGGGGTTGATCGGTATGTGCGCGCCCGAACCGCCACGCATGCAGACGGCAGAGAACAGGCAGACAAAAAGACCTCAGAGCTGCTGGACCAAAGGATTCGAATCCATCTCCGCGAAGAACTTGTCCCAGTCCTTGACCGGGTCCTGATCGGGAACAATTCGATACAACATCATAACATAGGCATGGACGACCGACGCGACCCATGAGCTGATTGCAATAATCGTCCGAACTGTTCAACGGCGCTTCCTCTTCTGGAGCCCCCATGACTCACTGACACGCTCTGCGCCGAGTGGTCAACAGGTCACAGACAGAAACAAGCAACGAGAGAAAGACTATCTGCGCGAAGCGAAAATATACCACATGGGTGGTCAATCAGATGTGAAGAGAAGTGGCGTTAGTTGTAGCGTCGAAACAGCCACTCGAAACAAATTGCACGCATAGGCGTCCCAGCATCCCGCCTAGGCTGTCGTAAGGCAGGGACTCTGTATTTTGCGCCGGGATCCCCGCGAGTGGAGGTTGAGCAGGGACCGACCGTCCCGGCATTCCTACAGGCCTAACACGAAGTGTTCTTAGAGTCCAACAATGTTCTAAGAAAAAAGTTCTTAGAACATAAACCCGATAGCTATTCAGGTGGCATCTGAGAGAACAGTAGCCACCTGCTGGTGGCAACCCCCCCAATATGCTGCAAACAACGGTCGATCGTTCGCCTCGAACATCCAACAACGTTTACTATCCGTCTGGGCTACAATACAATCCCCGCCCGAGCCAGACACCACATTCATTTCATAATGGTAGACCCCGGTCGGTAACCACCCACAAAAAACTAACCGCGGTTGTCCACCCAACCCGGCGTTTGGAGAGAGCGGGCGCGAAAATACAGACGGCGCTCAAGAACCCACACGGGATCCAAATAGCCACCCAGGCGGATGCCCCAAGAGGCTTCCGATAGACTCTTCAAAATGTTTTCGGTAGGCGCAAACCACGCATCATTGGTGCCATAACCCATTCACTTTTCCCTGACATTACTTCTTCACAGGCAACCGCACCCAAACCCCAACCAGGACGTCTCCGATGAAGCACCCAAAACGCCCCAAGCGGCCCTGAAACGGCCACAAGGTAGCCCTGGGACGGCAAGGCCCCGTCCAAAAAGGCCCTGGAACGGCTGTGACCACCCCCGGCGCCAAGTCCCCAAACAGCCACCAGAGACTACGCCGAATCGGCCCCAAAATGGCCTCAGTATCAGAGACGTCACCGGACATGTTCGGGAAACCATCGAGCCCCAAACAAGCCAGGAACGTCTCAACAACCCACGGAGGCTGCGTGGACCCGTGGTGAGAACATATCAGCGATGAATGATTATGGAATGATTTCGGGGCAGCGGTAAAACAATGGCGGGATTTGCTACAAGCAAAAGAATACTGGCGGACGGGAGCTTCAGATTTAACCACGGTGCCATAACACATGGAACATCATCATATACTGTTGTACATTACACGGCCCAGTGCACCGTGGGAGAACGAGCATGCGCACTACGCGAACCGTGCACTGCCACTCGCCTGAATCATGAACCCTGGATGATCTCCGCGAAAATCCCAACCCTTGCACCGAGAACCATATACTTCTTATATACACTTGAAGTCCAGTCGCCATCGCCAGCGCTGCTGGCATCATGGCTTCGATTGTGCCGCTTCTGTCTGCCCTTTTCGCGATCCTTGCTGTTGTCGGTCTCCCAGCACCCGCTGAACTTGCCAGGCGCCCCATCCCACTTCGCCCCCATCCCTGCCACCATCGCGACCCTGCCCCTTGGCATTGGCCGCTTAAGCGCCGGCAGGGGCATCGTCTCTCCCAGTGACCTCGCGATCTCTTTTGGCGCCCGTCTCCGTAGGTGGGGGCGGCGGCAGAATGGGCCTGCCAGCCGCCGACGCGGCCACAGCACGCTCGGTAGGAGGCTGATGCGCCATGTCAGGGAAGCCCCTCGCAACTAGCATGGCCATCGTGGAGCGCCACGCGGCGCGTTGATCCATCGCCCGGTCCATTTTGTCGCAGGCATGTTTAAAACCAGCTCCCCCAAGGAACCGGCCTTTGCCGAGGATGTCGAAAAAGCGCGCGCAGTCCACGACGGCAAGCTGAACCGATGGCCCCGCGAGTCCTTTAGCAGGGGGGGCCCAAGGTGCACACACGAGGCCTTTGCAACATCGCATCCGCTGATCCACCTTTCGCCATGCACCTCCTTCACTTGAGCAGGGGCATAACCGTGGAACACTGGGTCTATCTGCCCATCATTGTACATTGCGACAGGACCAGCACACATAATCGAGATATCCACGACTACGTTTCCAATCCTCAGCGCAAGCCAACACTTGTCGGCGTGGAACCAAAGCTCGCTCTTCGCCCTCTCAGCGCGGGCGCGACCCGACCCCCTGTATGATCGCATGTTTGATAGCCCTGGAATCTGCGCCCACATCAAACAGGCACCAGAACACCGCGCTGTTAGCCAATGGCTGGCGGGCACGTTTCCCAACCCCTTTGGGGCTTTCTACCGTTGCCAATGCCACAACGATGAACGTCGCAATCGCGGGGGGGGCCCCGCTCCCTTCCACGCACGGAAGGTCCCAGGCGAGCCGCAGGCCATTCGACGGGAGCAAACCTCACCCTTCTGCGATCCGCGACGCGCGCAAAACATTTCAGTTCAACACTACTGGGGGCAATTTCGACTGCTTCGAACACTGCTTTCTTCCGTGGGCACCGCGATGCGACCTTCGCCAACAACGATAGCTGCTTCTACAACCAGATATTACAAGTACTGGCGATGTAGAAACTTCGCTCCTTCGGCCAACTGGAGGATCTGGCCAAAAAAGACTCCAACGTTCTTTCCGGCGACCCACTGACCCCAATCCTCGTCGAGAGGCTCTGCATAATCCGCCCTATCGAACACAGTGCAGGCCAAACCGAAAACTTCCAAAGCGTCCAAATCAGGGAGGCGCTGGCTTGTTAACCGAAGAGCAATACTCCCGGTGCCATACATGCACATGTCTCACGCCGTTGGTGCGAGGCATCGTAGTTAGGGCGCGTTCTTGAAACCCTTTCGATCAACGTGCCGAATTCCTTTAGAATCGACCGAATGCAAACTACGGGTTGACCCTGCCCGGATCCTGGAGCACGCGCCAGGCGGGGCACAGCGGCAGGCCCACCCCGCCCCATTCCCCGCAGGGAGCGCGCACAGCGCGACCCAAAAGAAGGCCCATACTACGCGGCGGTCCGCTGCCTTCTGTCGCAGTCCGTTCGCTCTCGCAAGACAAAGGTTTTCTCCGCGCTGCCCCTTCTGAGCGGAGCCTTCCGAGCTGGCCGCGCCAGCCCTGGTCGCATCTAGGTCGGCCGCCCCAGCCGCCCGCCCGACGCCGAGGGCGGAACGACGCTGAACGTGAGCGGCCCCGGGTTCTGCAACAAAACTGATTCGCGCGGCCGCGGGGCGAAAAAGTGCGCGACGGCCCCGTTGCAAAGGGCGCGCAAGGGCCCCGAGCCGCAGCTGGCTGCAACAATAACTCGCAAAATAAGTTTCTCCTCTCCACGGACCCTGTCGTAGTTGGATATGCCGCTCGTCCGAGATATACCAACCCCAGCCCTCTATTCTCTCGATTGCCTATCATTCTTCGAGAGTTGCAGCATAGCCCGATTTCGCCCTTGGAACAAAGGGCCCACTTCGGGGTTCAGAGCTCCATCAATCCAAGGCCGGGCGCCCCCTGCATTTGGAAATGCGGCGGATATCGCCCGCGCCGCGCGCGGACCCCAATCGCGGCGCCCCGCTGGCTTCAGCATGGGCAACAATCCGATCTCCGCGGCCTCTCCCGCCCGCGCCCAGTTGTCAAGCGGGTCGCGGGCAAGGGCCGGCGGTCTGATCTCCACCACCTCCGCCACCCCCCCCCGCCCACCCCCGGGCGGGCCCCATCTCCTCCGCCCCCGCCCCCGGTCGATCCAGGAGCGTCTGGGGGTGCGCGAGGTATCTCATATGGAGCATCGGGCGGCTTCTCAAGGGGACCCTGCGGCGGGCCCGCCAATTCTGGGAAACTCCGAATTCCTTCGAAGGGCAAGCTTCGGGAGACTTCCAATCGACGTCCTCTGGTTTGGGCGAATCATCCAGGGCCCCCCCTTCTTCGCGCACATTGTTTGCCTTCTCGGGTTCTCCCTGGTCCTATCGAACTGTCTCTGACCAATCTGACTGTTGTTTTATCGGGTAGCCATCCTCACTGCTGCATCCAATTGCCGGGGTCATCTGCGCTCTTCCTCGAGTTCTTCCTCGGCGGATTCTGCCTCTGCGACCAGCTTCTCCCGACTGCATCGCCTGCGCCGCTCGGTCGCCAGGCCAGTGCGACCATTGCATCAAAGCTTCGAACACTGGCGCGATTCTCCCATTTTGGCAGCGCATAAGAGTGGAAGATCTCATAACTTCCCGAAGCTGTTACCATTCGCGGTTGCCCGCCCCGAAAACGTGTAGTTCTGTCTGCCTGACCACCCGCTACGGAGGGCACAGCGACTGCATCGCTGGGCGACGCCGGACGCATGCTCCTGGGTTTGATTCGGAGGCTCGACCCCAGAGCCTGGCTGGTCGGTTGTCCTGACGTCGCGGGCTGGGCCTGCAACGACAGCGCATGCTCCCCCAGCGCCGCAGATTGAACCTGCGACGAGGAAGAGCTTGCCGATGGCGTTTGGGACAACACCACCGGGCACCACGGTTGAACCTGCAACGACGAAGAGTCCTCTCGCTTAGCCAACTCATTCCGATATCGAATCTCTCGCAAGGCCTCTAGTTCGATGTGCGCCTGCCTTGTCTATAAACATCATCGTTAAGCTTGCCCATGTACTCACTCATATTCCTCGCGTGTTCGGCGGCGCGCTGAACCGCGGCAGACGCCTTCTCATTGACTTGCTGCGCCATTGCAACAGCCTGAGCCGCCCTCTCCAGCATGACCACTCCCACCTTCTGCTCCGGATTATTTGCGGCGTCTTCGGCAGCCTGCAATTGGCATGGCAGCTGCAGCTCGTTCTCGAAGGGCCCTGACAATTATCCTTACCTCATCCGATATCACTAATTTGGCAAGTTCCCCCATCTTGTTTGCACTCCGTTCCGCTCCCGTCAGAGACAGAT